CCCCCCCCCCCCCCCGACCTCTGAAGTGTCCATGGTGGTGCTCGGAGTGGAGGTGGGGTTAACCCCAAGTATCGCATCCAGCTCTTTGTAGAATCGGCAGGTCACGGGGGTGCACCCGAGTGGCCGTTTGCGTCGCGGGCTTTGCAGTAGGTACTCCGCAGCTCCTTCACTTTAATCCTGTACTGCAGGGCATCCCGGTCACGGCCCCTTTCCAACATGTCCTTTGATAACCTTCCCGAAGGTATCGTAATTCCTATGTCTGGAGCGCAGCTGGGACTGGACAGCTTCCTCCCCGCAAACACTGTTGAGGTCCAGCAACTCGCCATTGCTCCATGCTGGGGCTCGCTTGGAGGCATGGTCACCTGGAAAGATTCGCTGATAGCACTCCACACCACGCCGGGCTGAGCAAACAGGAAGGGGATTTTTAAAATTCCCGGGGAATGTAAAGGGTCAGTCACATGGTTGGTTACCTGAGGCCAGGGCAGTAGAGTTTGAACTGATGACCAGAGTGGCTAGAACAGGCATTGTGGGATACTGCTGAATAATTCTGAAGGCCATTCACAGCGCAGTGGCCGGCCACACTGGTGCTGCAGCGGCAGCGCTGCACTTGTTATTCCTCTCGGAGAGGTGGAGTATATGCAGCGCTGCAAATGCCTTGCCAGTGTGGACGGGGAGTGAGTTACAGCGCTGGGGGAGCCTGTACAATGCTGTAACTCGCAAGTGTAGCCAAGGCCTCAATCATGAAGTGGGGAACAGGACTGAGCTACCCAGGTTCTCAATGCAGCTCAGAGTACTAGATCAATCTTTTTGTTCTTTATCAGGGGGTAGCCGTGTTAGTCTGTATCTACAAAAACAACAAGGAGTCTGGTGGCACCTTAAAGACTAACATTTATTTGGGCATAAGCTTTCGTGAGTAAAAACCTCACTTCTTCAGATGCATAGAGTGAAAGTTACAGATGCAGGCATTATATACTGACACATGGAGGTTTTTACCCACGAAAGCTTATGCCCAAATAAATCTGTTCGTCTTTAAGGTGCCACCAGACTCCTTGTTCTTTGTTTCTACTAATCTGTTTAAGCAGAGGATAAACAGTTGCCTGCTCATTGTAGCAACAGCTTCCAGAAGGGTTTTCCACCCCTAGATTTTGGGCACCAAAATGAGAAGCTCTGGGGAGACTTCTACTGGGAGAAAGAATCTGCACTGTTGTAAAGAGTGAGTTCAGAATTCAGCCCACAGAGCAGACAAAACTAGCACTCATTCCCCTTCCTGCTTGGAGTGCCAGTAATGCAGGTTGCCTACAGGACATGGAATGCACTGAGGCGTCAGTGAACATGCAGTGGTATGTAAACTCTCAGAAGACAGCAGGTAGGGCAACCCCAGTTGTCTGGGACCTAGCTCCTCCCCAACCTCTCTTTCTCAGCCACTCACAGCTGGTTCCCTCCCTTGAAGTGCCCCCAGAGGAATCTGAAGCACAGGCAGGCGTGGTTGAGAGTGGCTGAGACTCAAGGGCATCTTGAACAGAGCCAGCTCACATGCAAGGGGAGGGAGAAGAGAATGCCCCCCCGCCCCCTGGGTTTCAGGACTCTGGGAATGAAAGCAGCCACAAGACAGCACGCTCAGGTGACATCTGCTTTATTGGGTGAAGTGTGCCATTTAGGAGTTAGCATTGGGGCCCTTCTTCTTGCCAAAGCCCGGCACGATATTGACAAAGCGCCGGTTGTACTGCATGCGTCTCTTGGCACGGCCAGTCTTCTTCTTCTTCTTCTCTTGCTTGGCAACCTTTGAGGGAGAGAGCACGGTTAGCTTTGCAACATGCCAAGAGGGGGTGGGACTCCTGGTTCCTAGTCCCCCTGTGTGAACCACTAGGCTGCAGTGGTCTCACAGTGTTTACTGATATCAAATTGCAACAAACCCTCAAAGTCTGCAGCAGGTGAAAAACAGCCCCAGCCCCGCCCCCAACCCCTCTGGTTACATCAATGCTCCAAAAGAATCACTTACCTTGGGAGTCTGGCCTCTCACCTTCCCAGCACGAGCCAGGGAGCCATGGACCTTACCTGGGGAGAGAAATCAGGAGAGCTGTACTCAAGTGCCACAGGACACTGGGTAATATATACAGTGTGGCTGGGACACTGGTGTGGTTGCCCTGGTGGCCAGATTCATTCCAATTTTGTCACTCTAGGTCCTGCATTTTCTTCACTAGACCTTTAAGTTAACCCACATGTCACCAGCATCCTAGTAACTAGCTCCTGAACCTCCTTTGTAAAAGAGACATGATGACTGGGGGCCTCTAAGGATATGTCTACAATAAAAAGAAGATGACAACGACTAGCACCCTCGCTGGCCCAGATCAGCTGACTCAGTCTCACAGGGCTACAGAACTGCTGCATAGACTTTCAGGCTCAGGCTGGAGCTTGGGTTCAGACCATGTGAACAGGGAGTCTCCGAGCCCAGGCTCCAGCTGGAACATCTACACTGCTCTTTTTAGCCCCACAGCCTGAGTCAGCTGATCAATGCTCTGAGACTCTGTGCTATGTTTTTTTTTTTTTAAAAATTCACTGTGTAGATGCATCTTGAAGGACTGACAAGGTTCCCACAACCAATCCAACCCCAGTGGGCTTCAGTCCTGGACTGGAGGGGAGTTCAGTATGTTCTATTCATTCTGGGGCCTCAGACTGAATATGAGGGGCCTCCGAGTGCTGTCTGATGTGGATCCCTGTACAGTGGGCTGAGACCCAGCAAGCTTGTTTTACACAGGCATCCTCGAGGTCCTCTGGCTTCTCATGCACCAATCAGAGCCCCAATGGCTGCGGTGGTCTTAGTCTAGCATGACTCTGCTGTAGCTGGCCATCACCTCTTGAAACCCAGCTAAAGAGCTCAGTGGGATGAACTCTTTTGCATGCCTCTTCCACCAGTCCAGGAGCTTTATCTGGGATTTGAGTCCAGTACACCTCTCCCAGAACCTTTTAATACTTACCACCCAGCATGCGAGCAGCCACCTCCAGGGTGGTAAACTCGCTGATGCCACATTGCCCAATGAGAGATTCATCCTCCAAGGGAGTTCCACCCAAGAGAACAACCTGATCCTCAGATGCAATGCCCTCCAGGGACTCAATGTGAGCCTGATAGGAGACACAAGGTACAGAGAGGTACAGTCAGTTGGTGAGGCCAGGAGAGCAAAGCTAATCAAGCACCTTCCTCAAGTCAGCAGGCATCACTGTAATCCTCCCCATAACATGAGGTAGAGGTGTGCTAGCCACAGTATCCCAGATCAAAGAGTGTTTCTTTCTGGGCAGCACAATGCTAAAAAGGTTGAGTGATTGGAAGGAACTCAGATCCCACTGCCACAGATCAGGAAGGAGGAGGACTGATTCATGAGGAGAGTTAGAGCTGTCCAGACTGGCTTTGCAGGGAAAGAGATGATGCATTCCAACAGTCTCTGGGGATATGAATGGGGTAAATGCCATGGAGGGAAAGGAATCCATGCACTAGGGCACAGACAGGAGCTATAGAAAAGCCTGACCAAATTGTTTAGAGTGGCACTGGGGTTATGGGGTGAAACTAACAGCCCTTCATTCAAACTGCAAGGCCAAATGCAATTACTCCGATTACAATTTTGTGTCACAGAAAGTGCCAGGGAGATTTTAGTGACAAGCAATTGGGAATGTTTAATATTTCTTCCGAAGAGCAGACACAAGGGAGTACTGGTTGAGGCCAGCATTGTAAGAGGGGAGAGCAACCCCTCCTGAGCTCAATCCCCCCCGCAGCACAGCCTTTCCAATACCATGATGGGACACTGGAATCAGCACAGAATGCCCCTTACTGACTCAACTCCAGAGCACCTTGGCTTCCTGTGAAGGTCTTCCATCCAAGTTCCGGACTAGGAAGCACATGCTCAACTTATAATGTCAAGATCAAAGCCTGATGTGGTCCAGCTTTGGGCAGCCATGTCCCTATGATTCTCTCAACACAGATCACACAGAGGAAAGGGACCTGCAGTGCCCAATACCTTCTTTGCCCATATTTATGATCAGAAATCAGCAGCAATTCTACCCCTGCCCTTCCCCTCGGACATAAGCAATCAGCTGAAGGATGCATTGAAAAGCCTTACAGAATTGTTTAGGGTGGCATAGGGGGGCAGAGAGAGAGAGTGTGTGTATGTGGATAGTGAATCCTTACCTTAATGTGAGCTACTGTTTCCTGGCCAGACACCTCAAGGGTGTGCAGGTTCTGAGCACGGATGAACAGCTGCATGGTTCCAGCTATGCTGAATGGACAGAACAACAAGTGTTAAGGCAATTTACCTGAGACCAGGCCATTCCCCCAGCAGGCTAAAGACATTAGGTCTCGCATTCTGTGGCTACATTGCACTAGACTGGCTGAGAGAGACAAGCAGCTACCCAATAACCTACTGGGAGCTCTACAGATAAAACCCAAACAGGAAACAAGCAGACATTATGAGCCAGTGAAACACCTACAAATAGAACCCAGGAGTCCTGACTACCAGCACCCCTGCTGTAATCCACTCCCCCCCTCACCCCCACTTCCAGAGCCAGTGACAAACCCTGGAAGAGTGCCCAGAAGTTCTGTCACTGGCTTAAACAGAAGAGCAAGTAAAGGAACTCAGAAGACCTGGCTCCCAGCCCCCTTCTCTAGCTATGAACCCCATATCGAAACATGAGTCAAGTGACTTAGCCTGCAGCAGTAAATCATTGCCTACACAATGCAATCAGGATACCTGCCTTTGCCAGGGTTTGGGTATCTCCAAAGGCCCTGGAATTCTGACTGCCTCAGATCAAGCACAATCTAGCCAAAGTCAGTCTCTGCACCTTCCCAACAATGGCAGAGGTTTCAGGTAGCAGATCTGCTAAGGCATAAACAAGGAAACTTTACTGATGCTCCTCCCCGGATAGACTTTGCTGCAACCCCGGCAACAGACAGTACTGGTAAAAAGTCAATGCCACCTGCTGGGCCTGGATTAGTCTGAAGGGTTGTGTAACGTGGAAGTTTGGATACACTTGAGTAGCAGCATCCTTAGTATGCCACAAACAGAACCCATGAGTTCTGACTCCCAGTCCTCCCCTGCTCTAAAATCCACGGACTCCACTTTCCTCGCAGCTCTGGAGATAGAAGCCAGAAGTGGTTCACTAGGGAATGAGGCTTAAAAGTGCCCAGCTGAGCTAGCCAACTTTAGCAGGAGATGCAGAACGGGGAGCCACTTCCCAATGACCAGGTACCTCGGGAGAGACACAAGGCACCCGGCACCATCCAGGGATCTACTCACTAGTCACAATCCATGACATGAGCCAGTCCCAAGCCGTCTCACAGTTTGCCTGGGAGCCCCATCTGCCCCTTCCTTGCCCACGTTGGGCTCCTGTTCCAGAACAGGACAGCGAGGCGCCTGGCCCACTGGAGTGGTGGAACCTCCTGCCTTCACTCGCCCAAGGGGTTTCCTACCCGCCACCCTAGACCCATCTCCACCCCGCACCACAACTGCCAGTCACCTCATGCCGCCCAGGGGTGGCCCCGCACCACGAGCCCCCGGGGGACGGGTGAGGCGAGGGCTTCGTGTCCCGCCCCATTCTGAATCCCCCCCTCACACCTCCCACCCACAGCCCCCAAACCACCCTCCCACCGGCGTCACCCACCGCCTGATCCAGCCCCCCAGAGCCCCTCCCAGGCCGCGCTCTCCGGCAGGTAGGACATCGGGGCCTCACTCACCACGAGACGCCACCACCGTACAAGATGGAGCCGGAAAAAGAAAGGAGTTGAGCGGGAGCGCGCACGCTGATATACGTACAGGGAGACGCGCGCGGTGCGTAAAGCGTTACGTCATACACGGTCGTCTGTCGCCCGCGGAGGCGTCCTATTTTTACGTCACAACCCCTCGGTCCCAGCCGGACGCGGTAGCAAGATGGCGGCGGCCATAGCTTTAGCGGGGCTGAGGAGACGGCCGGGTGGCGTGTGGGGCGCGGGGGCCCGGCGGCTGCTGCAGGCGACTGCCCGGCAGGTACCGGTAACGGGGGCTCAGGTAGCCGGTTCGTCCTTACCGCCCGCCCGCAGCTAGGGGGTGGCTCTCCTGCCCCACTGAAACGGCGCCCGCCGTGGGGCGGGACAGGCAGCGCTCGGCTCCCGCAGGCGGGATAGCACGAGAACAGCACCTGAAGGTTATTTACCCTCCCCCCTTGCATTTCAGAGCCAGTCCCAGGACAAACCTGAGACCCACCACCCCCATTATCCCGGGATTGTGGAATCCACTGAAGAATATAAATTTGTGGAGAGACTCATTCCACCCACCAGAATTCCTGCTCCCCCCAAACACGCCGAGTACCCCACCCCGTCGGGCTGGAGAGCCCCATCAGGTAACAGTATAGGGCCCCTCTCCTGGAGCTGGGTTTGGAAGGATTCCATGGCTCAGTAAAGGTCAATTCAACATGTCTAACTTCCCACAATTGTGAATATTTAAATCAACAAAATGCTTAAGAGCCATGATTTTTCACAACTGGAAATTTAAATTGAAAAAGCTGCTTAAAACATTATCCATCAAAACAAAAATCAAATTCCAAAAGCCTAGTTGTAGCAACTGTTGTTGAGTGCCAAGTTTCAGAGGGGTAGTTGTGTTAGTCTGTATCCACAAGAACAAGGAGGAGTCCAGTGGCACCGTAAAGACTAATTATTTGGGCATAAGCTTTTGTGGGGGGGAAAAAAACCCCACTTCTTCAGCTGCATGGAGTGAAAATTACAGATACAAGCATAAATATATATTGGCACATGAAGAGAGTTACCTTACAAGTGGGGAACTTCCCTTCTCTTCATGTGCCAATATATATTTATGCTTGTATCTGTAATTTTCACTCCATGCAGCTGAAGAAGTGGGGTTTTTTTCCCTCCCCACAAAAGCTTATGCCCAAATAATTAGTCTTTACGGTGCCACTGGACTCCTTGTTTTTGTTAAGTGCTGATTTAGCATGCTGTGCCTGTATCCCAGTTCTGCATTGACTAGCTCCTCCCACCAATGAGATAAGAGCCCAGATGGTGCTATTGTGAGGAAGACCAGCTTTGGCCTGAGCTAGAGGAGTGATCTCCAACCTTTTTATGCTCAAGATCACTTTTTGAATTTAAGGGCAACCCAGAATCATCACCCCCGCCCCCCCCTTGCTTGCTCTTCTCCAACCTCACTCATTTTCACTGGCCTGGGGTAGGGGCAGGGCTGTCCCTACCCATATGCAAAGTATGCAGCTGTGTGGGACTCCACATTTCCTGGTGCCCTGTGCAGCTGTGTGCTGCTCCAGCCCTGCCCCTTTCCACCCCAGCCCTGCCCCAACTCCGCACTTTCCCCAAAGCCCCAGCCCTGCTCCACCCCAGCCCCCACTCTCCTGAGGACTGCAGCAGGGCTGGGCCTGCACTCACCAGTAGCTGGAAGTGCAGCAACCCAGCTGTGCTGCCAGTGAGTGCTGGGGGGTAGTTCCCTCCTGCCCCCCAAGCCAGCCCCCATGGAGGCCTGGGGACCCCCCCTTGGGAGGGGCTGTGTATGCCCCAGAATAGCTAGGGATGGCCCTGGGTAGAGGGTTGAGGTTCGGGAGAGGGTGCAGGCTCTGGGTTGGTGGGCTTCAGTGTGGGAAGGGGTTCTGAGCTAAGCCTGGGGTAGAGGGTTCGCATGCAGTAGGGGGTGAGGGATGGAAGCTCTGGGAGGGAGTTTCGGTACAGGGGGGTCAGGGCTGGGGTGCAGGAGGGGGTTTAGGGTGCTGGATCTGGGGTGCAGCCTCCTGCTGGGCAGAACTTACCATGGGTGGCTCCTGGTCAGCAGCGCAGCAGGCTAAGGCAGGCTCCCTGCCCACTCCACTCCTGGAAGGGACTAATGTGCCCCTGCCTACTGCCCCTCTCTGCAAGCACTTTCCCTGCATCTACCATTGGCCACAGCTCCCTGTTTCCGGCCAATGGGAGCTGCTTGCAGGCAGGAGCAGTGTGCAGAGGGAGACCCCTGCTCCCCCCTGGGGCCTGCACTGGCCATTTCCAGGAGCTGTGTGGGGCAAGGGCAGGCAGGGAGCAAGCTTTAGTTGCAGTCCCACTGCACTGCCAGAGATCACAATTGACTGGGAGATCATCTAGGATCGAGGTGACCGCTGTTCCACAGTATTTTAGAACATTCAATGCTCTTAAGTGAAGGGGAATTAGTGTCACACCTACATTTTTTCCACTAGATTATGGGTTATGCTGCAGTAAGTGCATTGAATGTTAGCAAGTCCCATATGCTCCTTAAAACGTTTTTCCATGTGATTTTAAAGTGGTGGGTTTTGGTCACAGTGCTATATATTCCTATGACTGGGTGCCATTTGTCTCTTTGAAAGTTTACCCCCAGAGTGCTGCATAACCCTGAAGGGTATATGAGCCTACAGCAAAAAAGATACATTTTCTCAGATCAGAAGGCACCCAACCTGCAGTACTCTGACTTCTAACAACACAAACTGCCCCCAAACTCTGGCCTCGCTTCCTGTAACTTATTTTGAGCTAGTCACTGTTGTTTGCATCTTTTATTTCAAGGATTTGTGGTTTTAAGAGTAAGATACAAAGTGATCAAGGTTTCTAGTAGTCCTTCCAGCAGGGTATGCTGCCTCTTTTCCTGGAATAGGCTTACCCCTCTGTAAGCCTATTCCAGGAAAAGAGGCCTTCTAAAGCTTGAGAAATACAAGCCTTGTTAAGCAGTTGGCATCAGAAAAGTGACTAAAATTTATTCGTCAGATTTTTAGCCAAGCTACGGCATATGAGCAGGCATCAGTTCTGCCTTTGTGCATAAGTCAGCTAAATTCTGATTGCATTTTTGCCAGGAACAACCCAGTTGGATTTTTAGATGGTACTGGGAGTCTATGGTACGGAGAGTAGAGTTGCAAACTGAGATGACTTGAGTGTCACCAGGGTCACTTTTCTGATCTGAGCTCACTAGTGGAGCATGCAGAGCAGACAGTGGTCTGACCTAGAGTTGAAATCAGTTTTTTTTTTATTAGATACTCCACCTGCCCTTCCTTACTTTGTGAGACGGTCCCGCATGCACAACGTTCCAGTCTATAAGGACATCACCAGTGGCAATAGGAGGATGACTGTTATCAGGAAAATCGAAGGAGATATCTGGGTATGCACCATTCCAACTCATTCCTAACAGCCTACCACTGATGATACAGCTTCTTAAACAATGCATATTCAGTGATTCTCCTTACCCCAAAAGGGAATGAAAATTTAATAATAGTAGGAGAATGTGTATTGAATGTATCCTGCAGAAGTCAGTTTCACAGCCAATCAGAGAAATATAGCTAGGGTCCTACCAATTCACAGCCCATTTTGGTCAAATTCACAGTCATAGAATTTTAAAAATGGTAAATTTCATTTCAGCTATTTAAATTTGAAATCCCATGGTGTTGTAACTGTAGGAGTCCTGACCCAAAAAGGAGTGTGAGGGGAGGGAGTCACAAAGTTATTGGGAGGTGGGGGGGTGGTTGGTTGCGGTACTGCTACTCTTACAGCAGCACGGCCTTCAGAGCTGAGCAGCTGGAGAATGGCAACTGCTGGCCAGGAGCGGAGCTCTGAAGGCAGAGCCGCTGCCACCAGCAGTGCAAAAGTAAGGATAACATGGTATAGTATGAGCACAGAAGTAAAGGTGACAATACCGTAGCCCCCTAAAATAACCTTGTGATCTCCCTGCAACTGCCTTTTGGGTCAGGACCCCCAATTTGAGAAACACTAGTCTCCCCCCCATGAAATCCCTATAGTATAGGGTAAAAGCACACAAAAGACCAGATTTCATGGTTTGACACGTTTTTCATGGCCAAGAATTTGGTAGGGCCCTAAATACAGCTTTGTAAGACAGTTACATATTCCCCAGAGTAACAGCCACTACAGTGATATTAGTTAGGAAAAAGCTAATAGGGATGCTATACTAGTCCAGAATAAGGAGCAAAGCTTTCTTTCTTGAGGAGAGATCACTTTCCTCCTTGCATGGATGCAGAAAATGGAGAGTTCTATTTGTTAGACTCATCTACCACCCCAGGAAACAAAATACCAGACTAGCTGGACCACTGACACTGCTATTCTGGCAGCTCCTACAAGACATAATTAACATAACATCTCTGAACTGTTTAGTGTTATGCCTTACACATGCCCAGCTTTAAACCAAGACAGTCAAACTAGCTCTTAACTGCTGAAAGCCTGGCCTAGTGTTTGATGCCTATAAACTTTTGGACTGTCATTATTTGATAGTTACATTGAAACTTTATTCTTGTTCTGTTTCTTTAACCTCAGGCCCTGGAAGAGGAAGTTAAGGAGTTCCTCACTCAGCTCGCTGGGAAACCACCACCTATTCAAGTCAACGAAATCACCTGCAGCATCCGTATCAAGGGCTATTTTGACAATGAACTGAAAGAGTGGTTGTTGAACAAGGGCTTTTAAATAAACCAACTATCCCGTTTTCTTTGTGCGGATGGATGCTATCTGTCCCCTTCTGAGGAAGATGTGTTTTCTTGCTCAGATCTATCCTAGCCCCAGATGAACCAGTCTTATTTTTTATGCAACAGCAGCAAGTGTCCACATAATGTCCTATTAGCACAATGCTTTTTGCCAAGAGAGGGAGCTGTACTATAACATCCATGTGAAAGTGAACAAAACTCCATCCTCTGCTGCACTGAAGAACAAGGTCTGCTTAATTGCACATTTATTTATACCACATGAAATGTACAGGAAAAGTTTACAAAATGACCCTTCCCTGGGTGCCTGTTCCAATAAAATTAATAAAAAAAAAAGTTCTGCTCTATGAGCTCCAATAAGGGATTGTTCCTTTGTTACTGCTGCTAATGAGTTCAGCTTTTGGATCCCCATTGTGTCTGCAGTGAGGCCAGTGTGAGTCCTGTATACAGGAAGGGATTCTTAGACATTTCCACCTGAAAGAGATCAGTTCAGTGCAAAGAGGCAGTGCCCACTCTGTGGCTGCCATTAGAGGTGAAGGCTAGACATGATCTAACCTGGTTCGTAATGTGGGCTAAGGAAGGAGTTAGGGCAGCTCACTGCAATGAGAGGAGAAATGGGGCTTTTTAACAAGGCAGTTCAGTTTCCCTCTCTTACAAAGAGAGTCAACAGCCACTTTCCTGTCACTTCTTGTTTTCTTGGAAGCAAGTGTAAAGCGGCTACTCCTTGAACTTTTGAACTGGTCATGCATCTCACACCGTCACTTTCAGCTCTGAGAGTAATATTGGCTGTAGTTCCATGGATTCTGATACCCGTAGACGCCGTAGTTCTACATTTGAAACAGAAGAGAGAACATAGTTATTGTCAGAGTGGGGCGAAGCATGCAACTAACTTCTCCCCCCAGCATTAAGGAAATTCCTTTGACAGTGAGGCCACCATAAAGAATTAAATTTCTATAGCACCCTTAACCCAAAGGATCCAAACACTATACATAAAGGAAGCACTTCATCCACTTCTGGAGTTCAATATGACCACTCAAACAGCTCACAGTAACACTGGATGAGGATAGGAAAGTGAAGAGTCTGCCATGCTGGATCAGACCAATGATTCATCTAGTCCCATATCCTGCAATAGCACTAATCAGTTATTGGGCCTGGAGAAGGGAGGTTTACATCTTATGAAGGCCAAGAATGTGTAGTTGTGGAGCAAATCCCATATGCAAATAAAAGGGGGAGGGGAGAAGGGGAAGAGAAGAACAGGGCAAGTAACTTGCCCAAGGTCAGTGAGTCAGTGGTAGAGGTGGGAATAAAACCTGAGAGCCCTGACTTCCTGTTCTAGCCACAAAAGCTCATTCCCCTTCCAGAACTGGAACTAGAACACAGGAGGGCTAACTCTCAGTCCCTCTGCTAACCACCAGAAAACTCTCCCAGCTAGGAATAGAACCCAGGAATCCCGAACCCCAGCCCTTTGATCCGATTACCAGACCACACACTCTTCTTTATTAAAGACCCCAGAACTTCGTTAACACACAGTTCAGGGTTGCCCAGCCCTGCCTCGTGGTCTTCCAGAATGTGCAAAGTGACTAACCAAAAACCTTTTAAAACCAGAAAATACAGGACTAAGGCACATACTACCTCTTCAAGGCAAACTTAACTCTGCCCACTACCCCACAGCTGGCAATAGCTCCTAGGAATGGATCAGTAAGGGCAGTGGTGAAGAATAAAATTACAAAGAGATATGGTGGATTTTCTCTTCAGGTCTTAGAATCCAGACTGGATGCTTTAGTCAATCACAAGTTATTGGGCTCAATATAGAGGTAACTGGGTGAAATTCTCTGGCTTGTGTTGTACAGGTGGTTAGACTAGAAGATCCAATTTTCATTGCTTGTCTTCAAAGCTATGAATTTACAATAAGGAGATACAAGGAAGTTCTAAGAGAAAGTGCCATTGTGTTTTCCAGAGATCCAAATTCCAGGATTTATCTGTATGCACGCCACCTGCATTCAGTGTTAGATGTAGCTAAATGAATGGTGAAGGGATTGGTTGGAGCATCTTTGAGATCTGTTACTGTGATATGAGAGGTGCACAGTACCTTGAGGGATTAAGTATGCCTCTTTTCAGTGCTGAGTTCTGCAGGTTGTGTCAACAGAGGTACACAAGGGTGTCTTCTTGCCATAGGGATTTTGTTGGTAGTCTGTGGTCTCTAAGGCTTTGTGAGGGATAAATGAAGGCAATGTCTCAGAAGGAATCCTTATGGCAAGAGTGAAGAGGAGGTAACATTTAGCAAGTCTGAAGTGGTTTGTGTGAAGTAGGTTGTGTCTGAGTGTAAGTACTTCTTGTTCAGCACACCTGACCAAATGCAAAGATTGCCTTAGCAAAAAGGTGCTATCAGACAGGGTCCTACAGTGCTCATGTGCTCTGTAGCATCTGTGAAGGGAGAGAGCCAGTATGGGTGTTATTGGCATGGTAGAGCATTGCTCAAAGAGGAAAGAGTTAAGGTTGCTTTGTGGGGAAGGACATGGGATGTACCTTAACTCTTCATTTCCTGATGTTCTGTGGTTTAAACTTAGCCATTCTCCACATTCTGGAAGGGCACAAGACACCACAAAGGCAACCTTGACATTTTTAGGCATTTAAATCCCCCCCCCCCTTTTTTTTTAAATACTCTCTCAGCACCTTTGCAACACAGCCTACTTCTCCACTGTTCAACATCCAAATTTGACCCACTAACCCTATCCCCACATCCCTGTGAGACACAGCAAGTTCAAGACAATCTGAATCACCATGCAGATTTTATAACAATCATCTTAACCGTTAAGCAACTCGCAACCTGGACTATAGTAGAGCTGCTGTTCTGCTAGAACAGGGAATGGACATGGAAGCATGTCACACACATTTATTTCAATTCTGCCAGATGCATTAGCATACAGGGCTCAGAAAACCGCATTAGTGCCACACTGCTGACCTGATACCAGGTGCTGTAGTTATAAGCGGCTGTTGGATTGATATCTCCACCCATCAGTGGTGGGATGCCTGCAGTAGTGACCGCAGGGTTGACCATCCCAGGAGAGTCCTCAGCTCTCAGCTTTTTGTCTTCTGGTTCGTCAGTGCAGCTGGGGAAAAAATTAAAATGCAATCAGTAACTCAATTCATAGCACAGGACCTAGAGGGTACTGGAATCAGAGAGAGGAAACCTAGTATGGTACACAGTACATTCTTGTCTGGGCTCTGGGATGAGCATTACTTCATTAAGGAAGTCAATCATCAAAAATGCTGCTTTTTAGTCTGCGTACAACAATTGGCAAGGAGGAGTCTTAACTGAGCAGGGTGGCATTCAAGATCAGATACTGACAGCTCTGGTGCACCATAAAGCAATCAGGACTGGAAGGAGCCTCCTGTGTCAAATCCAATCCATGCTATCATAGGCAACCTCATGTTACAATCCTGTTTATAAACTTATCAAGGTCCATCTTCAAACTAGTTTGGTTGTTTGTCCCCACTGCCTCTACTGGCAGACTGTTCCAGAATATCAATCCTCTGATTGTTAGTACCTTTCTAATTTCCAGCCTACATTTATTCTTGGCCAGTTTATATCCATTTGTTCTTGTGCCATCATTGTCCTTTAGCCTCGACAGCTCTTCTTCCTCCCTGAGGTCTATCTCCCAGTGTATTGATAGAGAGCCATCAGATCCCTTCTCAGCCTTCGTTTTGCCACGTTAGACAAGCCCAGTTCTTTCAGTCTCCGCTCATAAGACTGGCTCTCATTCCCATCATCCTAGGAGCCCTTCTCTGCATACATTCCACTTTGGATTCATCTTTCTTGAACACAAGTGATCAGGCTTGTACACAGTATTCCAGATGAGGTCTTATAAGTGCCTTGTCCAATGACAATATTACTTCCCTATCTCTACTGTAAATCTCTCACCTGATGGTATTGCATTTGCCCTTTACATGGCTGCATCACGTTGGTTGCTCTCAGTAATTCTGTGATTGACTAATACACTGACATCTTTTCCTCCTCATTGCCAATTGATGAGCACCCAGCTTATAGCAGAAATTATTAGTTTCTAAATTCACAACCTTGTACTTTGTACTATTAAATTTCATCCCATTTCTATTACTCCAGTCCTCAAGATTGGCCATCCCTGAACTAGACAAACTGTTCCTCGCGAGCCACGTGGGGCTCTTTTACAGTTAAAATGTGCCTCAATGAGCCCCCTACTTCCCCCCCTATTCTCCACCTACCAGGCTGGGGGGAGAGCTTGGGGCTCCTACCCTGCGTCGGGGTGGTGGGGCTAGGGGCTTCTGCCAAAGATAACTGGTGCCTGCAGAGATTTGGGGGCACAATTTAAAGGTTCTTCCTCCCTTCCCGCAACAGCTTGAGTCACACACCCAAGGCATGTCCCCCCTTACTCTCAGCAACCCCTCCCCGCAGGTCCCAGGTGTTAGCTCCACGTGGAGAGGCAGTAGCAAACAGATGGGAGCTGCGGGGAGGAGCATCGACTCTGGTTTCTGCCCAGCGGGGAGGGGTTCTTGGGGCTTCAGTGCTGTGGGGCGCACTTGCCGGGGCTTGGCGCTTCAACAAGAGCGGGGCTGAAGCCCCAAGAGGCATTCCCTGGCTCTCGAACTTCTGAAGATTGTCATATTTGGCTCGGAGGGTCAGTAAGTTTGGCCACCCCGATCTAGTTCTTCCTATATAATATTCTGACCCTCCTCTCTATTCATGACACTTCCCAATGTATGAGAGACTGTTTAAAATCTGGTAGCATCTGTGCCTTACCCATTTTCAGGGGCTCTTTTCCTGGTCATCTGGTGTTTGAGGAACTTTTGGTGTTCATCATACGCTGTCAGCAAGCTGGGAAGACAGAAGGGGACAGATGGTTAAGAACAGGAGAATTTGCTGTGTGTGTTTCAGTGATTTTACCAAAGTTTGCACTGGTGAGAAGAGAAAGCTTTGTCCCTCTAACTTTGAACGTGCTTTGTTTTGCCCCAAGTTTCGTTTGGCCCCTGGTGCTCCCTAGCAGAGGTGGGAATAGAAGTGGCATGCTAAACTCCAACCACTTGAGCCAAATCTTTACCCCCAACAAAATGGGTATTTACTGGTGGTCCCTTATGACTTTATAACCTATGAAAGAATGATTGTCTCCCTTGTTGGCAGATTTGAAAGATGGAAGATTAGGCCATCAAGTCTCAACTACGATCCCTAGTGGTAATTCAAGGGCAAGGGGCTGGTGTTAGCCACACAGTGACTGATCTGATGTTTGTGGATGCAATTAACCCAAAGTCAGTTCCAGGCTAGAGGATTCTGGGTGTAAGAATAGAGGGCTTAATTCTCTAGAGCCATCAATCAGGTACCTTTCACCAGAGAAGGAGAACCCCCAAAACATTCCCCTCTGTGGACACTGGGACAGGGGGCAGCGTGGCCTAGTGGATAGTACTCTGGACTGGGATGCAGGAGACCTTGGTTCTATTACCAACTCTACCACTGGCCTTTTGGGTGACCTTGGGCAAGTCACTTCCACTGTCTATGCCTCAGTTTCCCCATATGTAAAATGGGGATAATTATACCTGCCAGCTTTGGGCTGTACTGATTAAAAGCACTGTACAAGATTTAGGTACAGTAACTCCTCACTTAACATCATCCCGGTTAATGCTGTTACATCACTGCTCTATTAGAGAACATACTCATTTAAAGTTGCGTAATGTCTGCTTGTTTGGCCGTGGGGGCTTGGAAGCAGGGTGGGCCGGCAGCCCCTCAATCAACTCCCCTCCTTGCCCCCCCGCCCTCTGGCAGCCCCGCGGATCAGCAACTCCCTCCCTCCCCCCGCGCCTCCTGCCCGCAGCAATCAGCTGTTTTGCGACGTTCAGGAGGCTGGGGGGGAAAGGGGAGGGAGCAAGACGCGATGCGCTCGGGGGGGTGTGTATGCAGGGGCAGGAAAAGTAGGACAAGGGTGGAGTGGGGGCAGGGCCTGGGGTTGAACACCCCCTGGTACTTTGGAAAGAACAGCAAGAGGAGCAGCCAGACGATCTACCCTCTTTCACCCTGACTTCACCACCTCAACCAAGCTTCTCAAAGTCAGCATTGATAAGTACAGTATTAAATCGTTTAAAACTTGTACTGTATACGTATGTGTCTTTTGTCTGGCGAAAAACATTTCCCTGAAACCTAATCCCCCTATTTACATTCATTCTTATGGGGAAATTGGATTTGCTTAACATCGTTTCGCTTAAAGTCGCATTTTTCAAGAACATAACTACAACGTTAAGCGAGGAGTTACTGTATGATCTGACTTTTTGTACTCAAGGGGTGAGGGTCTCAGAAACAGCCCCACGCAGACAGGGTGTTCTCTTACCTGTGTATGCTGGACCCAAAGTCCTCAAGGAACTCCACTCTGCGCTGTGAGAAGACAATCTTCGTCTCCTCAGGGAGGCCACTGCTCAGGGCTCTCTCAAAGCAGTTCATGGTGTTGCCTTCATTCTGCCTGACATCAGCGCTGAACTCTATCTCCAGGAGGTTGGTGTAGAGCTTTGCATTTTCCTGTGTGACACAGGGGAGAGGAAGAGATCAGAGATGTGGTGCCTGGTCCAGGTGGAAAAGGTATGTTCAGAAGGCACCGGGGAAGTCTTGTTGAAATCTTCCTGCTTCAGTCTTCATTCTGACAACTAAGGATACATGTCCCTCAGCTCCAGGAATTATGGAGAGGTCTCTTCTGCACTCAAAAAATTCCCCAGCTCCTTTCATCCTGAAGTGCTTCATCGTTTATCTATGGTACTGGAGCGCAACAGCTGTTGACCCACACAAAAATACCACACCATGATTTAGTACAAGTAGCAAAAGAATCCCACACTCAGATGCAAGTATGAGAGTGTGTCTGTGGGGAGGAGGAAAGTAGATTTAGTGAGGCAGAATGGACTGGTCTAACCTGGAATTCAGCTAGGACCCTGTCACTTACAGAAGCCAAAATGGCTAATGGTTGGTTGTTGCCCTTTGATCCTTGCTTACCACACCCCACACTCCCATAAACCCTCGATCTGACTGCTCTCATATTAGAAGTTGTTTGACTGGGCCACTCCAAGAATCAGGCAGAAGTGTAATTTAGTGACTGGAACACTGGGAATAAGGATACCTGGGTTCTAGTCCCTGCTCTGCCACCACAGGCACGTCCTTTCCTTTCTCAGTGCCTCAGTTCCCTTGTGACACTGGCAGGCCACAGATGCCAGCTCCTGCCCAGGCTGCAGGCATAAGCTAAGACTCAACAAACTCATAGCTCGAGACCCAGACCAGTTCACCTGTATGTTTGTTTTGCTCAAAATAGGTATTTAGTGTTTAGACTCTATGAAATGCTTGTAAATTGCTGCATTCATTAATCTCACTTGCAATGTCTGTTTTCCATGCTATAAGAAAATATGTAAGTTTTACTTTATAATTTTGAAAATGATCACCTGGATGCTGATCGCTGCCCCGCAACACCCCCTTCCTTGATGGCCCATCTGATTTTGATAGCCCTTCTGGATGGGTGGGTGGGACAATTCCCATGCCTGAGTTTACAATTTCAGAGCAAGGGAATTGTCCCACCCACCCAGATAGGCCATCAAGGAATATCACAATACAATGGACTGGTTAATGGCCCTATTGCACCTGGAAAATGCTACATATAAGGAAACTTGTCCTATGGACTTGGAAGCTGAATGAAGGAAAGAAAACCGTCACAGGAAAATTTTCCATCTTTTTGGCTGTTTGAACTCTGACAGGGCCAGAGACTCTAAACTGAAGCCAAAGATCTCCAGTGTCTGCCTCCTGGGTCCACCCTCAAAGACACTTTGAATTGACAGATGACTAATTCTGTCACTCTTAGGATTTACATGGTAACTCATTTTTGTGTATATTTGCTTGCTTTAGCCTGTAAATAACTCTTATTTCTTTTGCCTAGTTAATAAACCTTCAGATAGTTTATTAAAGGGACTGGCTATAGGCATGGTCTTTGGTGTAAGAGCTAGGGTACCAATCGATCTGGGGTTAAGTGACTGGTCTCTTGGGACCAGAAGCAATCTAAATGTGGTGTGATTTTTGGGGTAAGTGACCATTTAGCACTAAGTCCAGTTTGTGTGGGTGGCAAGATAGACTGTAGAGTCTAAGGGGACCATCTGTGACTCCATGGTAAGACCGTTACAGTGATCCAGGAGTTCACATTTGTTACTGGGTTGGTGAAATTTAATTATAGAAAACACCAGTAGTGTGGGGTGTCTGCCTTGAGGTTAGCACTCACAGTCATGAGTCACTCTAGACAATGTCACCCCTCACTAAGCTTGACTACTTAGCCTGTGAGCTCTCTGGGACAGGGATTCTCTCTCAGTAGGTGCCTGTGCAGTGCCCAGCACCACAGAAAAATGACCCTCCAATCTTGGGCCTGGTCTACACTACGGGTTTAGGTCGACTTTAGCAGCGTTAAATCGAATTAAGCCTGGACACGTCCACACGACGAAGCCCTTTCTTTCGACTTAAAGGGTCCTTTAAACCGGTTTCTTTACACCACCTCCGACGAGGGGATTAGCGATAAAACCGGCCTTTGCGGGTCAGAATTGGGGTAGTGTGGACGGAATTCGACGTTATTGGCCTCCGGGAGCTATCCCACAGTGCTTCATTGTGACCGCTCTGGACAGCGCTCTCAACTCAGGGTATGTCTACACTACGAAATTAGTTC